GAATAACAAATTCTCTAGTTTTATCTCTGGATTTGGTCTTCACTAAATCCACGGTACAAAATAAGGCTCTTTCCTGCTAAATCTTCCACTGTGTTCTCTAGCTAGTGGTTAAAGCTAGGCATTAGCTAGCGGCTAACCGCCTACCATTTGGGTATAGCATACCAACTGAGCTACGGAGCTAGATGGCTCACAACATCACTGTATTCATTTTTCAAATAAACAATGAACAGAGGAGCATGAGGCCTGCAACCAATAAATGCTGTCAGTAGTCATTATTCACCTTACTCTCAGGAATGCTTTAGGGATGAACCATGGTTTAGAGTTATATTGATAGCTGCAACATACTGTCATGGAGACATTGCTCATATTTGTCTAGAATTATCCACAGCCCAGGGTTTAAACCAACACTGTCACTTATTTAATAATCATTGCCAAATTCCAGAAAATATTACTTACAGTTCATCATGATGTGATTCAAATCTGCCGTGGCTCTCGGGATGACAAATTGTGACAGCAGCTGATGAAGAAAATATATCCAAACAATCTTCTTTCCACCCTCCTGTTAGCCTCGATTAATGGTCAATATTACGCTAAACGCAGTTACAGCTAAGCAATGTATTAATCAGCGGAGAGCATGGAGCCGAAGGCAGTTGTGTTATTGTCTTATTGATGTCTATTTCTCTATTCTCAGTCCAACCTTCATTTGTCTGTTTGCGAAATGTTATGATTTTAATCCACAATGACATCCAGAGTAACACACTGTCACAGACACCCAGTTAATTACCCACGTGAGAGCAAAAAGTATGTAAGAATGACTCTTTTTATTTCTTCGAGTCAGTGTTTTGCTCTCTATTTCACTGAGTAAAACAGCCATATTCTACCATTCTGGCATCTTTTACTTCCTTAAACTCTTCTTCAAGTACAATAAAGCAAACGGGGGGTGAAAAAAAAGCAGGAGAAGAAAACTGAAGAAGAAAAGCGGAAGCGGCTGAAAGATGACAACGCAAAACAAATTAATCACCTAAAGGAGTGGAAAGAGGAGGAAAGGGGCGTGTAAACAGTGAGGAAATAAAGAAGGGGGGGAAGAAGGTGACGTGATTTCCAGAGCAAAGGAGTTATTAATGCTTGTTGTCTTTGAAGTGAGCAATTACCTGTGGAGTGTGTGCTGAATCACTGCTGTACACTGACAGAGTGTAACAGAAGGGATTCAGTGTGCAGCACTTTGCTTAAAATTGGATCTACATTTATAGCCAGAGCAGATGGAGATACTGGGTCATCTGGTTTGTCTAAATACTTGTATCCGCATGAACAGCGTGTACATGTGTTGCTTCAGCATGCTTCCAGACTGTTATGGATTGCGGCCAGGTAGAGATGGGACTCAGACAGAACCAAGGTCAAATAAAGTCAGGCAATACAAATGAGAAGAAGAGAGCAGAGTTAAGTGACTAAACATGCAGGTTATTCAAGAGTGTCTCATAGGTGGTACAATACTAAAAGCTTATCTCTGATGTTGTTGCAAAGAAAACATCCAATATGTGTCCTCGTGCAACTCTTCAATTACTTTCAGTACTGCTGCTTCTCTGTGTGTCTTTCACACCCCCATTTCACAGGGAAAAAGTCTGAATGAAATTCAGCTTTAACTTCATTTGAATGAGGAGAGATCATTAGGAAAAATTAAACGTAATTAATCATTGTATTTGGAGATTAGACTCCGGTAGGAGATGAGTTGCACAAAGCACAGTCTGAAAGGGAGAATGACAGAGAGCATAGATTTAAACCCTGCAGCGTAGATGCTGATTGGTTCAAAGCAGGCACGCAAGAAGATGATTGGAGCAGAGTATTGAGCTAGACAGCGTGGGTAGCGGTAGTAATATGAAGAACAGACTAGCAGCTGAAAAGCGATTACAGATCTTAATTGCTGAACTTCCGCATAAGCTTCATTAGAAAGCTGTTTTTGTGTGGCTAAACAAAAGGCCATAAAAAGATTAGATGAATTTCTTTGTTGATTTAAGCCTTTAGTTCCCATTTACTCCTGTATAGAGTAGAATAGAAATATATAGAGTGATTTTATAAGCTTTGTTTTGCTTTGTTTTTTAAAGCCATCTATTAGAACTGCTTTATTTTTAGAGCTATAACCAAGTATAAACACAACTTTTAGCTGCCTTGTCTAATAAAATTAAATATTCACACATTTTGCTTTCATCAAAGATTATTTTGGAAGTTTATACACCGTTTGGAGGTTATAAAAACGTTTTAAATGGATGCAGTGGATTGTCAGGTTGACCTGGCTCTCAAAGAATGTTTGAGACATTTTAACAAGGCACACATCCTTCATCTCCCCACTGGCAGCACAGCTGGCCTGGCACACAAACAGACCTTCTCATTCCTGGGTATTAACAAACACACATTCAGGCAAAGGTTTTCTGACTGCCCTGCAAGCCTGCTTTTGTGCATGTGTGTATATATACTTAGCTTCAGTGTATGTTCATTTACCACTGTTAAGTAGACAGGTTATATAGCCTTTTGAGAAACTAAAAACGCTTTGCATGTCCCCATACCTGCTGTCCTACGTACTAAAAATAAGTGTTCTGTTATAAGTACCCCCAGGCCTTTTGAAGTGTTTGCCAGTAAACAATCCCTTTAAGAAGCTGCAGAATGGTGGTCCTAATATGGAACTGTTCCACTCAGTGTTGATCTAGAGACCAGAAGTGCTGAGCAGTATGTTGACTATCAGGGATTACTTGTCTCCTACTAAATTAAACTTCACAGATCAACAAAACACTATTCTGCTTTGTTTTCTTACTCATGTTTGCAACAAATTGCAAAGTGTGTCAAGCGAATATGTTTACTATTAAACAAAAATGTCAACTTTTATCAAAGAAATTATTAAAAATGCGCGAGTAGTCTTGTGTTACAGAAGTGCTAAAGCAAAAAAAATACACTGTTTGTACATCCACTGCAGTCCTAAGTTGCATGTGAGAATGTAGATGCCCACTGCAGTATTATCAGAGTTTAAATAGTCTTCACCCTCCAAACTCCTTACTGCAGAGTGTGTGTGCCATTTCATTTTTGCTGATGTGAGAACTGTGCTGGAGAAGTGTAAGTGTCTTATTTTGCTGCATATGTGTCACATTCACATGTTTCACATCATCAAACAAATGTTAATGTTAGACGAAGATGATAAGATGATAATGCAAAATGCAGTTTTTAAATGATGATTTTATTTATTAAGATCTCAGTAAACAATATTGTAGTAAACACACCACAGACCAGTTGACAATTCAATGCTTTTCAGCATGATTGTGGATGCAGCTCAGGTGTGTCCACCTCCCCTGCAGCGCCACAGACCACGTGCTGCCGCATATATATTATATGAGAATCTAATGAAATTCAAGAACAGATGAGAGACAAAATTATTGACATCTATGAGTCTGGGAAGGGTTATAAAGCTATTTGTATGGTTTTAGGTCTTCGGTGAACCATGACGAGAGCTGTTATCCACAAATGGAGAAAATCTGGAACACTGGTAAATCTTCCCACAAGTGGCCGGCCTACAAAAATTACTCCAAGAGCTCATCGATGACTCATGTAGGGGGTCACAAAAGAACCCAGAACAATATCTGAAGAACTGCAGGCCTCAGTTACCTCAGTTGAGGTCAGTGTTCATGATTCAACAATTAGTAATAGACTGGGAAAAAATGACATCCGTGGCAGATTTCCAAGGAAAACACCACTGCTGACCAAAAATAACGATGCACAAGAGTTTGGAGAAAATATTCTGTTGACCAATGAGGCAAAAGTTCAACTTTTTGGAAGGTTTGAGTGCCATCACATCTGATGTAAAACTAATATAGCATTTTATAAAAAGATGATCATACCAGTAGCAAAGCATGGTGATGGGAGTGTGATGGTCTGGGCCTGGATTACTTGCTATTGATAGAACCATGAAATCTGCTCTCTACCAGAAATTCATGGTTCAAGTATTTTAACACTGGATACAATTTTAATGTAAGAATCGTGCTTAAAGTCAAGATGGAGCAGCTTTACTTGTGGTTGGGATTCTTGCAGAATTTGCAAGACAGTGTTAGAAGAAAGCCCATCTTGAGTCGAGGTTATGTGTTTAGAGCTGAACTGCTGCAGGTTCTTGCCATTCAGCAACCTGTAGAATATATTGGCTTGCTTGCTTTTTATGGACAAATGCAGAATCATCTGATTATATACTAAATACACAGCTGACAACACAAACTGCTTGTTAATTCTCTTGAATTCTTAGATTGCAGCTTGTTTTTCTTCTTTGATGCTCTCTGCACCCAATGTTTCATTGCTGATTGGTTAAAAATAGAAGATCCATTCAGTCATCTGTTTGTGAAAGGACCTGCCCTTTTTCAAATAGTTTCCAAAGACAATTTCTGACACGGTTCTTGTAACAAGCAATCAAATATGACAGATTAATCGTTGCATGAACATCAGCCAAATGTAATGGCAATGATTTATGGGGAGTACAAAGCACAAATGTTAAGGTGCTGATACTTAAACCCATACTGTGAGGACATAGTATAAAACTCCAAATGAGCTCTGGTTACTTCTCTTGTGCTGTTGTATCCTAAATTGATGCAATCCAGGTGTTGAGTGGCAAACTGTTTGCAAAACTTTGTGAAACCCCACGCTCTGCTTGCAAGATGTATGTAACATCTTCCAAGGACTAATAACAAAACAGTGCTTCACCACTGAAGCAGATGTTGGAAGTGGACCAAAGTTATTTTGGAACAAGCCTGTAAAGATTTAAGGTAAATCTAGAAGGTTCTTTCTTCCTTGAGTAGCACAACAGAAAAAAGAAAGAGACAGACAGGCTGGCACACTGGTGTTTGCATTGGTGGGCGAGTGCATGACTTCACAAGCTCTCTCTTACTCAGAGTACTCTCTATCAGGCCAGTTAGCAGCACATCTTGGGGGTAAGTCCGCTGCTTCAAGACAGAATCAGTGCAGGGTTGGAGCCCTCCCACACATGTCTGTGTGTGTGTGCATACTGCTAAACCAGACAAAGCCTTGTAGCTCCTTCGAGAATCAGTTTTACATTGCTTTCAGTCTCTCTCTCTCTTTCTCTCTCTTCACACTTTCAGTACAGTCTAGCTGAGTGGGTGAAAAGCAAGAAGTTCATGAGAGAGAAAAGGAGAGAGAGAGAGAGCGAGCAAGCGCAGCCACTCATTCGTCCCTCACTCCAGGCTCTAAGTTTACAGGCAGCCAGGCAGATTTTCTTGGCTTGGATGCAGCGCTCATGACAGGATTAGGAGCCTGGGATACAGGATCAACCGGAGATCTGCAGGTCCTAGTGGATGAGCCCAGGTCAGATTCTCACCCTGCACAGGTAGGGAAAAAAACAGTGCATCAGACCTTTTTGCCTGCATATATAAAAATTTGCAACCTTGGGATTGTTCAAAGTGTATTTCTTTAACAAAATCTGATTCTCCAAGTGTTAACAAAAGGCCACAGTGAACCAGTTAAATCATAAAGTAAAGGGTGCAAAGTTGCAGAGTATGTAGCAATAAAATGAACCAAAGTGTTGACTTTTAATTTTAACAGACATATATTACTTCCCCTTTGTTTTACCCCTTTGTTCTTTAGAAATTACAGGGAGTTTAGAGGCGTGCACTAACAATGAATGAAAAAACTCTGTCAGTTTTCATTACTTACTAAAGGATTGATAGTAAGAGAGTCAAAGACAAGTTTTGGCAAATGCAGAAGCAAAATTGAAATTCTGGATTGAGTGTCAGACACTAACTCAATAACAACTCATCACAAATGTGAAGCTTTGAAAGGGGAGAAATGAGCAACACACAAGTGTGTAGAACATGCAAAATGCAATTAAAACTCATAAACAGGGAGGAGATTAGAAAATCTTTTAAAAAATAATTTCAGCAAAGCTCTCTCTTGTTTCTTGCTCTGTATTTGTTGATTTGTTGAATTGCTGAAGTAAGCATTCTTTCCACTATGACATTTTTAGCTGGAAGCGCTGAAGAGGTGCCAAGTTTATTTTAAAATGTGCGTGTGGGCGGATGGGGATCATTGTCGCCAGAGATTAATTTTGAAATCTCTGCAAAAGCAGCAAAAGAGAAAAAAAAAAAAACAGGAATGAAACATCCAAGTTCTTGTTTCAGATGCTTCCTTCTTATGTTATGTAACTGGCTGGTGGTCCCGCTCACACTGCTGCGAAAGATTGAGCAGAGCACCACTTCTGCCAGGGAGAGAGGTGAATTTCTTTTCTTGGACCCTCTTTGCACTGTAAGGAAGAAATTATAGATAGCCACGCCCTTAGAACCCTGTTGTGTGCTACTTCATGTTCATTGAATGCTGCCGGTTCTCTATCTCATTGAAAATGAAGAAGGACTGCAAGAGAGTTCAAGGAAATGGCAAAAAACATTCACATTTTCAAAAAGCTTGATGTTAGAATATTCTAAAGGATCCACACACTGCTGCACAAATTGTGCTGTTTTCTCGCAGGTTGCTTATATTTGATTATATTTGCGCATGTCCTTGCAGCAATATGCACACACAGATTTACGTGCCCTCTTTTAACTGAAATTCCAAACGTATGCTTGGGAAGTGGGAGCAGTGTGTGGTTTCACCCTGAAATTCTTCAGGGAGAAAAGGAGAGAAGAGAAACTTGGTAAAGTTGCAGGTTTACTCTGATTACAAAGTGCATTGGTGCCTTTTAGTAAAACTTCCTTCTTCTCAGTCTTGTTGCAGTTACATTTAAATAGAGCACGCTGGGGTAAGAACACGAGTGGGAGAACTCTGTTTGTCTTTACCGCTCAGATGTGTCTGGCACCAAACCAAAGCTGGGTGGTGGGGGAAGGCATTGTGCATGCGTTTGAACTCTGTTAAACATCTTGTGTCAGCTTTTGAACTCCCTTTTAAAAAAAAGTAGACACTGAAGGTTGAGAACATACTATGTTACCAAACACCGCAAAATATTGTATAATAATAAGATAAAGCACCTACCCTCCTCTTTGTTTTTTAGGATGGGTGGTGGTGGTAGGGTAATGACTCCATAATCTTTACTTAAAGCTGGCCATTTTTCCCGTACAGGAGTTGCACAGATGCAGCTGGACTCTGGCCACTCTCAAAGGTGACCAACTGCTGATTTTGGACATGCTTTTGCACGTGTTTGGATTTCAAAGTGTTCTAGAAAGCTGTTTCTCGTGGGTCTTGCAGGGGGAAGACACAAAGACAGGCAAAATGGCTCGTTTCTGTCAGAAAAGTCCTCCTTTTGCTGTTTGCTTTTGTGAGCGGGGGCACCTCTGACCCTCTCCGAAACACTCAAGCGTTCACTTTCTGTCTCCAAACATTTCTTTCACAGCACTCTCAGTTTTCCTCCACTGCAGAAATGAACTTGTATGGTTTCAATTAGGCTCTCAGGGACGTGTGAGGGTTCTCTCTTGAATGCTTTCTACATGCGCAGCATGTCTGTCTCTGTTACTGTCTCATCCTCTCCTTTAGCATTAAGGGATTATTATTATTAGACTTCCCTCCCACTTCTGTTTTCTATACATTCCCACTGTCTGCACTTTTATTCTTTCCCTGTCTTCATCTCTCTCTGTTTGGAGTAGCTTGTCGGTAGGTCTGTTAAACAGTTGCACTTGGGCACACATGCAGGAGAGTTAACCCAAAGGAAACAAAGCAAGGTCAAAGCAAGGGAGGCTTTCCAGTGTATTAAAGAAGAAAAGTCACCTATCACATATAAGCTCACTCCTTGTCTATGCTCTCCGATTTTCTGTCTTTTTTTCTTCTCTTATTAACTGCCTGACTTACCAATTGATGGCTTCCGTGTGCATGCGACTTGGATGGAATTTTTACATTTTGTATTAGTAGCTAAGCAGGAAAACCTCATTCTTGTTTTTACAGCCTCCCCTTCTTGTTCTCACTTCTCTCTCTAACACAGTGGCCCTTGTGTTTCTGAACTGTTTCCCCTGGCGGTCTGAACTCTTTCCATACCAAGTGGCCTGTCCACTGTTACCACCAAGATCCTCTGCGGTCGACCAGTGCAGGTAGCCACTGTGCAGTCTCAAGGCTTTGCTGGCGATATACTGTTACACTAATCACTACAATTTTCAGGGTTTATTTTTTTATTTATTTATTTTTTTTAGCTTTTTAGGTACGCCCTGCTTCATCATCAGTCTGGAAGTCATTGCCGTGGTTTTGACTTGTCTTTTCATCATTTGTAAACCAGCAACAGCGCTCTATCCTGATTATGTAATATCCCTGCAGTCATCGAGAGGTCACCGGTGGTCGGTGCTTTGACCCACAGATATAATCTGACTAGATCTATTACACGGGCACCCTTTGCTGTTGCAGTTTTTCCCCAGCTGGCCAGGGTTTTAACCAAAAGGCTTTCTTCTTTGTTCTTGGCTTAACAAAAACAGTGACACTTAAAACCAAACAAAAAATATCTCCTCTTTGCCAGCAGGAATTTCCCTTTTGCTGATGTCACTTTTTTTGGTAACTTAAATCTTGCCTTTGGGACTTGCACTTTCTTCCTGCGGTTTCTATTTAGTCTGAAACATCTTTTGCATCTGGTTTTCGAATAAACGAGCAGCCACCATCTGTATTTGTCCAAACTGCAGTCAGTGCCTCTTCCTGATGTAGGTGGTATGCGATGGTGTTAGAGGCCAACCTGTCTGCTCTGGTCTACTGAGCCCAAATGGCCCATTTGAGCCCACACAGACAATTCAAGAAACATACACAGACACTCAAAGACAGAGCATGCTCAGGCATATGTCTGCGGGTGCCTGTTGTATGCATACTTTGCTATCTGCTTTATTATCCAGTACTGACAGCCCTAAATTATGTGTATGTTTTGTGGAGTATGGGTACTACTGTACATATAGTCAATGAATCACTTGTATCTTTTCGTTTTTTGCACAATATCCATTTTTATTGCAATGCAGTAAACTTTTATTACGTTACTATTACACTACTAGAGATTCCTTGAGAGTAATCATACAAATACTCGCATATGAACACAAATCCCTAATACCTTATTTTGTCTGGATACAGAAGATGTTGCATTTAAAGATAAACTCACAAGACACTCAATTTGCTAGTATCCTTTTATCGTTGGACGCACTTCAACTCTTCATGGCATTAATTCAACAAGGTGCTGAAAACATTCTGCAGAGATTTTGGTCCATGTTGACATGTTAGTATCACACAGTTTTTGCAGATTTGTCAGCTGCACACCTGTTATTCAAATCTTCCACCGCATCCCAATGGTACTCTATTGGATTGAGACCTGATAACTGTGTCAGACCATCTGAGTACAGTGAACCCAATGTCATGGTCAACAAACCAGTTCGAGATTAAATGTACACATAGTACATTTTTTGAGTTACTGTTAACTTCCTATAAGAGTGATAGTTCTCCTCTGAAATCAACAAGGCACTTTTTCTGCCACTTATTGCATATTTTCCCTGTTTTTCGGGCCATTTTCTGTAAACTCTAGAGAAGATTGTGTGGGAATATTCACAAATCAGCACTTTCTGACATGCTCAGACCAGCCTGTCTGGCGCTAACAAGCATGCCACGTTCAAAGCCACTTAAATCTCCTTTTTTCCCCATTCTCATCCATGGTTTGAATGTCGGCAGGCCAGCTAGACCATGTCTAAATGCCTAAATGCATTCAATTCCTCCTGTGTGATTGGCTGGTTAGTAATTTGTGTTAAAAAGCCACACAACATGTGTACCTGACAAAGTGATTGGTCAGTGTAGCATAATTGGTAAAAACCACCCTGGAGAGCACTTCACAGAAAAATGTAAGAGAGATTACTGTAGAAATGGATGACATTTTCGGCCTTAATCCCTGTCCAAAAAATCAAGCTACTTTTAATTGGTGCTTAGTTGGGGTCAGTATACACTCAGCTTGGGTCTGGAGATCTTTCACTTATTGCTTTATTATAACACGTTACTTTGGTAGGTGCTTGAAGGCATTTGATGCTGTGTTCTCAACAGACCAGAGCTGTCTCTGGGCAGGGTCCAGTTTGCACTTCACTGTCACTTTGTTGTTGTTATGTGAAATATTTTATGATTCATATGTGCAAATCTCCACACCCTCTGACAACATCCTATCTCATGCGTGAACTAAAATTGGGCAATCGTTGCAATGCAAATTAAAATCCAATTTGATTTTGATCATATGCTTTTTGTATATAATCAGAGAATGCTTAAAAACTGAGACTACAACAAAAGTAATCTCACTGTTTGATTAGTAACTCTAATTCCAATACTGAAGGTAGGAATGATTGTGCTTTCACAGCATTGCAGATGTATGAATGTAATATGAATGTTATAATCTGTTAATTTTTTATGTGTTACACCGAGCGCTGCTCATAAAATGACATAAGGTAAGAAATAATAGGACTTTGGATAAGGCACATTAAAGCTGGTTCAGCAGGGAGACAATATATTCAGTTAGATCAACACTCCCTGCAAACTGTCCCCAAAACATATTCCTCAGACTTGGGTATTTATTCAGCGGTTTGTTTTCATTTGTGTCGACAACTTCAAGCTCTTTTGCTCATCTAAAGACTGCATGCATCAATTGTCTTATTAAAAAGTTATTGGTTTCTTTGAAAAATAAATTCCTCACAACTGAGCCAGAAATGCAAAAAAGTAATTAGCAACAAGAAAAAAGAAAAAAAAAAACCCTCAAAGAACATGCTGTATCTTTATCGTTGTAACCCGGAGACAATTAAATGTCACTCTTGCTAGCAGGCAGGACTTTTGCTGAACTTGTGGATACAACTGTGTTCCAGACTGGGCACAGACATGACACTATCCACACAAAAATTATGAACAAAAAAATGAACTATGATTAAGGTCTCTGAGGCAAAAGAGAGGACTCGAATTCTTTGCAGAGGTTTATTTTCACGTAGTCAAAACGCAGGGACACGTTGCTACCACATTTTACGTCTAGACCAAACTCTATTCTTGTTCAGGACAGATGTTATAGTGGCAGGAAAACAGTCTGTGTGATATTTAGAGACGCCCCTGAGGATAAATGGGCCTTCTGTAGATGTTCTAAGATGGAGGGAGATAGTTTTTTTTCTTTTTCTTTGACCACTTTGGGTTGGCATACACTGACCAGTGGTAGCTGGAGTGGGAAATAATACCAGAGTGGAAGGACTAAACTAGTCTGCTGTGGCCATGGGGCTAACCAAAGGGACGGGTTTAGCCTGAGTGGGTTTATTATGGTCACAGCTGGAATGTGTGCTGGATAATGTAGAGTGACTATGCCAATAGTTGTCTAGAAGCTTGATAACCACCTAGCTAGCTAGCTAGCTAGCTAGATAAAAAGAGAGATAGACCAGCACCACAGTTACATATATAAATGGGTAGTTATACATCACTAGTGGGTTTGACCCCCTTTTCTTCATGGCATAGATTCAAAAGCTTCTGGAAATATTCTTTATAGATTTTGGTCCATATTGACATGATAGCATCTGCAATTCCTGCAGATTTGTCAACTTCACATCTGTTATGCAAATCTTCCATTCCACCACAGCCCAAAGGTGCTCTATTGTGACATGGCTTGTTATCCTGGTCAAAGTATCCATCACAAGATCAGTACACTGTGGACATAAAGGGCTAGACATGTTCAGCAACAATACTTAGGCTGTGGTATGTGAATCATTCTCAGTATTTTATGGGGCTCAAATATTTTCACCAAGAAAATATCTTCCACACCATTACCCCACCAGCAGCCTGAACTATTGATTCACGGCAAGGTGGATCCATGCTTTCATGTTTTTTATGCCAAATTTTAACTCAGCCAACAATGTCACAGCTGAAATTGATACTCATGAGACAAGCCAACATTTTTCCAATCATCTGTTGTCTAATTTTGAGCGAGTCAGTGTGAACTGTAGCCTCAGTTTTCTGTTCTTAGTGGACATGAACGGCACCCAGTGTGATCTTCTGCTGCTGTAGGATGTTTGCTTCTAGGTTCAGTGATGCTTATCTGCATAGCTTGGTTGTAAGCAGAGGTCATTTATATAATATAATACAATTATTATTATTATGCCAGTTTAAATGGCTTAAACTGAAAGCACTTACGTTGGCAAATACTTAAATAGTGATACACAGGGGATGTGTCTGGATCTCCTCAACAAGTCTCTCTGTGCTTTCAACCTGAGTCTAATCTAGTCTGGACTTTATACGTGGCACAAGTCTCTCATTGTGTTAAAACATGCCACTCATCAGCTTCATAAACATTTACCACAGGATCTATAACATGTTCTCTTGCTTGCACACTGGCACATAAATACATAGAAAGAAGAAAGACAGGCACAGTTAGGCCGATAATGATAGGTAGTGACTTAGAAGACCAATTCATTAAGTTCTTCTTGGGTTTGGAGAGACAGCTCGCTGGAAGGGAATTGCTGCATATAATGGCTTCAGTGAAAGAAACTGAAGGTTTATGTTTGCTTCATTTGATTTGAGATCATTTGTAGATGGACAGAAGATTTCTCAGTGAAGTGCAAAGTATTTCCCCAGATACATTCTCAGCTGTTTTTGCTTGTAGCTAGCTACATGCCCTGTCTGTTCTTCACAATGGAATGACACCATCTGCATTGACAGGCTTGTTCCACTGTATGAGTCTGAAAGACGGTAAGAGAGCTGCGGTTTGGTACAGTTGGCCTTAGTCAGCACACATGTGTGTCTGTATGTGTGCGCGGGGTGCACGTTGGCAGACCTGTCGGCCTCCCCCTCTTTTTTTCTTTTTGGCTCTGATAACACAAGGGATTCATGACTCATATATTTTGGCATGAAATGTGCACACCCATACACATGCGCATATTAACATAGCCAGCAGGCTGTGAGAACAACCAACTGTAGAGTAAAAATAAGACAATTACCATCATTATTAGGCAATAAATAATAATATTTACAGTCTTGACATATTCATATTTGCACCTGATGACAATGTTGGAGTTTGGCAGTGCAAATGGCAAGAACAGCAGACCAAGAAACAGACATACAGGCTCTATGTGGTTTTAAAAGAAATGGTTTATTTGGGAAATTTGGTAGGCTGCTGTAAATATGAAACTACAATCAGCCTTGTTTGCTTAGCAAAATGACTGGAAACCAGTAGAAACAGCTTGCCTGCATGTGCCCTGATATTTAAAAAAACAAAACTGCTTACATTACCTTTTAAGTTCACTAATTAACACGCCACATTTTGGTGGTTTGACCTATATAGTAAATGGTGTGTGAACAAACCGCAAACTTGTGGCTTTACATGGCTTTTTATGTGCAGTACTACATCCAGGCCAGGTTTCTGTGGTTCTGGATGATCTTCACTAGCTGTCTGGGAACCTGACAGATAATGAAACATATATTGTATTGTCAAACTGTCCAACTAACACGTACATGTGGCAGATATTTATACACATAACACACTTGTTACTGTATCGAGCACTCTTGGTGTTTTTAGATAAAGGAAAATAGCTCTAAACACATGAAACTACATGATTTCAAATGCAATACACACACCCCCTCACCCTCTACTTTACAACACAAACAATTCCTATATTATAAGGAGAAAAACTGTGTTTAGAAGATCTGGAACATTCAGCTTTGTTTGGTTGGAGGCAGAAAACAAAGAAAACTGAAAGAAAAAAGAAAAGAAAACTGTTATGAACACACATCAACCTCGAGAAATGTCTTTTCGTTTTTTCTCAAAACCCCTTTTCCACCCCCACACCCCATTTCTGCCCACTCCACAATCACTCAGCTTTCCCACTAATTCTTTCAACATGTTCAGCATTACTGCTTTAGTTGTTGCCAGATATTGACAGATTGCCAGATGTTGACAGATATGCTGTAATAAAGCAGATACTCTTTATCTGTGTCAACTTCTCCTTTATGTTGCACATAAATGCACACAATAATGTGATGTCAAACACTGACATTTTCATGTTTTCTATTCTATAAAAGCATTCAATGCAAAGTGCTCATGAAGATAAAAAAAAAAAAGTGTGATACTCAGCAAATGGGTTCAGGTAATCCTCAAATTCCTGGTATAAAGAGTACTGAGGAAAACCTGCATATGGACCAGGAGAACATCCAAACTCCACACAGTAAGGCCCAAGATGCAGGGTCTTATTAAGGACTCTCTTGCAAATCTTTTAGGATTTTGTGAGAAGTTTCCACTGAAGACCTTTGAAAATTCATTTTCTTCTCTCCCTCTCTTCCTCTGTTTGTGCCACCAGCAGTGACTGACCTGTATCCCTTCCTCATCCAACTTCCGAAATTGACCTGATTGCCAGGCTCCATCCTCTCCTCTCCTGTCATGCATCTCCTTGTTTCCCTCCTGCTCTTGCTACTCCTTGGATCAGCGGAACCCCGGAGAGGCCCTCGGTCAAAGGCTGTGGAGAGGGGCACACGGGGCCATGTACGGGGTAGAGGCAGGCCCGGCGTCATGAGGCGTCAAACTGAGGTGTGCTTGGAATACATGGAGTCAGGAGAAAAATACCTTGACTGCCAGGATAGGCAGCTGACCACTGTGATGCAGGACTGGCCCAAAGATATCCACCACCTACTGCTGGCGAGAAATAGGATTCAGGTATTTACAGGCAGATTTCTGTTCACCTGGTGCAAAAATAACAACTGATGTTAATTACAGCGGACTGGAGATCTTTTTTTTTTGCAAGAAATTGGGTCCTTTGCAGCAATTAAGCCTGAGTTAAGTATCCATAATCTATTACTCTCTATGCTTCAGATGGCTTGTTGATGCCATGAGCATCTGTGCACCAGTTATTTGGGAGCAAGATCAAAGACAGACTTTTCTTCCTTATGTGTGCAGTTTTTTGCATGTCTGAGCAAGTACAGGATGTTTATGTCACAGGTGCTGAGAGAACTGAAACAAAATGTTAGCCTGCAGGTTAATAAGTGGAAATGACTGAGCAATAGACACTGATGAAAGCAATGAAAACAGGTATAACTTATGCGGGAAGGAAACCGGATCTTGTTTTATTTTTATTTGTGTCTTCGGCACTTTGTTTTGGATTTAAATAGGATATATTTTATCATTTAAAACATCTTTAACATGTATTTTTTACACTAAAAATATGTAATTTGAAAAGTTAGATACTTGGAATTACAGATAGAGAAAACTGATCCATGCTGTGTCTTTCACCACTTGCAGCACTTTGGGTTTACTGTTGCTGTTCAGAAATGGTAATCTTAACATAGTGCACCACTGTATTTTCCAAATGTCTGACATCTGGCTCCAGCAATATGGGAATTTTAAACTTCAGGCTCTGAAACAGTTGCCTATACATCAGTGGGTAATGCCACAGTAGTTAATGGCCACTTTTTATATAGAATCTGTGGTATAACATGGGATCAAATGGCCGTAGGAGGCTAAATTCCTACAAGCTGCAAACTGCAGACGATTGAAGTTTTTTAGTACAGTAAAGATAAGAATAATGCACAAGTAAGCTGATGGTAAATGCTACCATATTGTCCAGAAATGCAAATAAAACAACTCGAGTACATCTCTCCTTTCAGGTTTTGAGGGACAACATGTTTGCTCAGTTCACCCAGCTGAAGAGCTTGGATCTCCAGCAGAACCGCATCTCCAGGGTGGAGGATGATGCGTTCAGTGGCCTCTCCCAGCTCAAAACCCTGCTCCTCCAGCACAACCAAATGACAACAGCCTCCGAGGAGGTCCTGCTCCCCCTACCCCGCCTTACTTATCTCCGTCTCTATGACAACCCGTGGAGCTGCCTGTGTCCCTTGGAAAGCTTGATCAGAAAACTGCAGCTGCCAGGCAACCGCAACTTGGGCAATTACGCCATATGTGCAGAGCCTCTTTCACTGAAGGGTCAGAAACTAAAAAAGTTGACTGTAGACCTGCTGTGTGAGGAAGACAAGGGGCCAGAATCTGGAGTTGTAGAATGGCCAAAGCCTCCGCCAAAAATAAGGAAGCCAGATGCCACCTCCATGTGCCGCACGTACATGTTTCCCAAACCGCTGCTGGACTGCAGCAACAAAGGTGAGAGATTGTCAAGTTCTGTCTCTCTATATCTTTATCTATACATTGTGACCTATTCTTTAAATCTGTGTCTTCTTGCCTTGAAATCTGAGGCAAGAAGACACAACTTGGATGCCATTATAATATAAGTTGACATATGCAGGTCTTGGTTGGGGGAGCAGAGGTTACCTATTAGCAGCATTGCTATGAGGATGCTGGCTTGTCCAGATGTTTTAGAAGGACTGGTGTGAAGGTTTGTGCAGAAAAACTTGGACTAAAAGCACCTTATTAAAAAACTCATTTACAGAGTTTATTAAGTTCAAATGATTTTTTATTAACTGTGAAATGGGGGGG